GGTGGGTGCAGCCCTGCGCTCAGCTGCTGCCACTTGGCGGTGGCCTGCAGACCGCGAGGAAGCCCGGGAGGCGACGTGAGACTGGCTCTGGGCTAGGTTCCTTCTCACCTGCTAGGCTCGTCACGGGAGAGGTGGGCGTAGACGGTGTTTTCCAGCTCCTCTTCCCTAACACCAGACCCAGCCCCCCCGCAGGTTGCCTGTGCCTGTAACAGTCCCCGGAGCTGGAAAGGCTAGGGAGGCTACCTTCCTCCCTCTCTTCAGCCCATCTTCCCTCCCTCCCATCCTTCCTCCCATCTTCTCTCCTTCCTTCCCTCCACCATCCTCTTTTCCTCCTGCCTGCCCTCCCATCTTCCTTCCCTCCCTCCTGCCCTCCCATCTTCCCTCCTTTCCCTCCTTCCTATCCTCCTTCCCTCCAGCCCTCCCGTCTTCCCTCCCTCCCATCTTCCCTCCTCCCATTCCTCCCTCCCTCCATCCCAACCATTTTCCTTCCCTCCCATCTTTCCTTTCCTGTCTTCCCTCCCTCTCATCCTCCCCCTCTCCACCCCTTCCATCTTCCCTTGTGTCTTGTTTTCCCTTTCCCTCTCTTCCTCCTAGTCCTTGCTCCTTTTTGTCCTCCCTCCCTATCTTTTCTTTCTTCTTTTAAATAACACACACAGGGGAAACCAAGTCAAAAAGGCGCTCTCCTTCTGAAAGCGGCAGGCTGAACTGCAGTCAGAGGAGGGAAGCTGCAGCTATCAAGGATTTGGGCTTTTTACCTGGCATCTTCCTAGTTTGGTCAGTGAGAAGCTCCTTTGTCCTGAAGGACAAACAGAACCAAAGCTAACACTCCCCCAGCCTCTCCTGCCACAGCTGTGGTTGGTTGGAGCTGTGCTGGCTTGGTGTAACCTGGCTGGATGCACCCAGGACCCAGAGCTGCCCAGCTTTGGGAGGGGTGTAGAGGGAGGGTGGAAGTTTCCCAAGGGGCCTGGTGGGTGCAGGCCATCTGGAGGGGCTGCAGGATGGACTTGTCTTCCTGTGCTCCCCAGGGGGTGGTTCTGGTTACCTGGGTTACCCTTGCCATGGGAGTGTGGGTTTTCAAAAAATCAATTTGATGGCCATTTTCTTCCCCAATCAAGTAGCCACACCCTGAGGGACAGACCTCTTCAGTTACAGCACAGGAGAAAGTTCAAGGACACAGCATCTTCGAAGCACTCTTTGGTCTGGCCTGATCTTTTCTGAGGTGGTCAGTGGTGTTTTCTGGATGTAACCGTAAGTCACCTTTGCTGGGGGAGTGTGACGCCCCAGTGCAAACACCTTTGGGTCTTAAGAGCAAATTGAATGGCTTTTGGAAGGCTAAGCAAAGAACTTCCAGGAACTTTCTGTGCAGTGCCATGGAAATTACTTTGTCTTGTTCTCATTTACCTCCTGCATCTTTCAAAGAGTCAAAAAAATCTTCAGAGGAGAAATGAATGCTTAATCACAAAAATGAAGTAGAAGTCATTATTTTCACTGCCAGCAATTTCTCTTATTTCTAGACCTGTGTGCTGCTTCATGTTCCTGGCCCTTTGAAAGTTCCTGCATGTGGGCAGCCTTCATCACTGTGGCACTGCACTGTGTCATAACACCTAAATGACACCAGTTGCTGTGTCGTAGGAGCTTCCAGTACTTTCATGTCTCAGTATTTTTAGCAGTAACCTCTGCACTCCAGCAACATGCCCTAGGAGAGATTGTATAAGAACACACATCATAGTATTGTAACATGACCTTTTGCTTGCTTTTTGAGACTGGTGTCTTGTTATGCCCCACAGGCTGGTCTCTAACTCATGGGCTCAAGTGATCCTCCTGCCTCATCCTCTCAAGTAGCTGGGACAGCAGGTGCATGCCACCACACCCAGCTTGTATTCTAACTTTAAATGTGAAAGAGTTCATATACTTTGAATATCTTAATATATCTAAAATTGCGTTTACAAAGCTTGTTAAAGAACTTTCTAGAGGATCAATAACGACTAGTTACAGACTGCTGTGCCTCAGGAATTGCTCACTTAGCTAGTTCCATACACACATGCAAGATCTGTCAGGGCACCCTGAGGAGGGAATGATTGGCTTTGCTGAGGGACAGGGGAAGACTTCATAGAGACAGCAATGGAGACAATTGCCAGGTGGACCAGCAGTGAGGACAGAGCATGATAGGGGTGGGTGGGGACGAGGGTATTCCAGGCACAGGAAATAAGATGGGGGAGTATAAGCACAAAGCACAGTCAGCTTGGGGAATTGCAGGTGTTTTAAAATGGTGGGAGCCAGGTGCTGAAGATGAGGCAGGAAAATTACATGACCTCAGAGGTTCTGAGACCAGACTGGGCAACACAGCTACACCCTGTCACCCCACCCCCACAGTATAGGGCTGGTGATGTAGCACAGTGGTAAAGTCCTTGACTAGCACACACAAGGCTGTGGGTTCAATCCCCAACAATACAAAAAAAAAATGATTGGAGTGTTAAGTATGGAAAGTGCAGGAAAGAAATTTGGGAAGATAGGGGTAACATCAGCCAGAGGCTTGTAAAACATCTTAAAGTTTTGCTTTATTTCTAGGGAAGTAAGGCCTGGAGTGTTGTGAGCAACACAACAGAGAAGGCTGGTTCATATGGGTTGTGCACTGCACAATTCTTAGGTGTTCCATCTATACAGACTATGCTATGAATGATGCCCTTGCTAGGGTACTCGACAGTAGCTGTGCCTGATGGTGTTACTTGGGATGCTGGTCACTAAAGGTAGGAAGAAAATTGGCTCTGCAGAGTGAGTTTGGGCCAAGTAAAAGGAAAAAGAGAAAAAAAATACACCCTACAACATGGGGGAGGGGGCTATTATGAAAAGACATGATAGCCAACTCTTAGTGGTGACTGTACCTGTCATGTTTCACACCCTGGCATCATCTCGAGGGCATCCTATCAAAACCTTGCCCAAGTTCTCTTGAGAAGTCTACCTGCAGAGCTTTGAGAACTGGGATTAACAGATCACGCCTACTTTCCCATCTAGTTTTAGCCACATCTTACCTTCCTGCCTCAGTAGGACCCTGTACTTTTTATGTGGGTCACTATGTTGGTCCTGTAGTATTGCAGTGTGTGCAGGCTGGTTATATGGAGCGCACAGTGCAGAGGAAGAGAACCGGAAGTAGAGTGACTAGTTAGAAAACGGGGAGTAAACTGAGCAGAGCAGAGTGGTGAAGCTCTGTGAGGGTGGTTCTAGGGACGAGGCCCTGGGAAGAGGCCCCGGAAGCTGGAACTGATTTAACGTGTGGACTGGTTATGACATTTGATGGACAGGGAGGAGACTAGGCTGGTGCCAGCCTGCTGGTTAGGGTGACTCTGTGGGGAGGGATGGGTTAGGGCTAACCCAGGGGTTGGGAGGGGGAGGGTAAGTGTGGGGTTCAGATGGGGTTGGATTTGCCTTGCTTCCAGTGTGCTCTACCGCTGAGCTACATTCCCAGCCCCAGGTCACTTGGAAGTACGTGGGGACTGTGGAATGTTCCTGTAGAGCAGACCAGCGCAGCTGAGTTGGGAAGAAGTAAATCTTCCTTTTTCTCTTTGTAATTTTTTTTTTTTTTTTT